TCGCTTCGTCCGGGGAAGACGATGGGCAGTCCGCTGGGGAAGCTTCCATCTTAGGGTCCTCCGTTTCTGATAACTGACCCTCCTCTGGTTCGGATTGGTCTAACTGGATTGTTGGGCTCTTAGTTGGAGAAGGTGAGTGTAGTGGTTGTGATCGATGAGGTAAGTATTCCGCTAATGGTGATTGGCAGATGTAAGAAGATCCCCTATGCGATGGTGGTGAATGGTGACGCTGGGGACGATCGTCATATGATCTATGATAGCGCTCACAGTAATGTTCAGAGCGTGACGGAGAGGGGTATCGAGAAGAACGTGCGCTACCATGCTGGATATAATAGACGTGGCATGAAGAGCGCCTCACCGATCCGTATCTCGAGAGACGGGAGGGCGACCGGGATCGTGAACGGGACCGATGTGCATCTAAATACACCGCGTCACTATTATCGTGCCGCTGTACCTAATCTGCAAGGGGGAAAAGTAGCCGTGATAGCGACTTCGCTTTCCTGGTGAAGCAGATGGGGAAAGAGACCTGTCCCTATGATGGGTCTTTGACAATGACTTCCTATATGTTGAAGTCTCATCCCTAGCCCGAAGCACAGGGGAACCAGGCACCGAGTGAAGGTGAGATGGTGCCGGAGAGGTCAGCTGCTGCTGATCTGGTGTTGGTGCCGGCAGGGCACCCGGTGCCAGGGTTAGCAATGGTGCCGAGTCTGAGGCATTGGCGAGTCCCGCCTCAGGTCTCTGGTGCAGGCTTGCTGGTCAGCTGCGGCCTGATGTCACCGCCAGGGCAGGCGAAACAGGCGCCGATCCGCTGGGTGTTGCTGAAGCTGCTGAAGCCGGTGCCGGGAGGCTGGTCAATTGCGGTGCCGGTGCGTTCGTCAATTTCAAGGAGCGCGCAGCTGAAGCTGGTGCAGGCTTGCTGGTCAGCTGCGGCGCCGCTCTCGATATCGGCGCTGAAGCCGCGCTGCCCCTGGATGGTGGGGGCTCCTTTATGCCAGTCCCAGCAAGTTGTCTGGACCCCCCGGAGGTCACTTTAGAAGCCGCTGCTGGGGTTGAAACTGCCGCAGGGAGGGAGGGGGCCCGACCCCTGCAGATGCTGTAGCTGCTGGAGGGAGGGATTGCACTGGGGACGGCTTTGATCGCTTTGAGCCCGCTGGTCCCGGGGAAGCTGCCCTCTGCTTTTGTTCAGGGGCTTTCGTGGTTGCGAGAGGGATCAAGTCAGACTGCAATGCCTTCCTGAACATCAGCATTCTTATCTTCATCTCCCGCTCCCTCCGGGCTCTTGATGTTAATTTGTGGCAATGGGTGCACTTCTCGGGGACACTAGTCTCCCCCAGGCACCTAATACAGGTGTCATGGCCGTCAGCCGTTGGCATGGCTTCACGGCACACTGAGCATTTTTTAAAACCAGTCGATCCTGGCATTGTCAGCAGAGTTACAGAAAAAAACTGATCCCTGTGCAACCCCGCTGTGGGTAGTCAATTTCACAATTTAGCGCTTCGCTGCAGCGCTTCTGAGTGAAAAACGGCTTTAAAGGAAATCTTTTCCTTTTTCTCCTTTTTTTTTTTAAACAAGAGAACACCTAACAAGTAACAGGAACACAGCTAACACGAAAACTTTAACTATTTACAGGTAGACAACTATCTAAAACCATGACTGAAAAAGAGATCAGGGAGCTCCGACCACGACCTGATGCACGGCTGATCAAAGAAGCGAACGCTATCCTGGTGAACTACGCATGCGCGAGCCGGCGGAGCACGGCTATGAAAAGTCTCTGAGCCGCGGCGCCGGGACAGGACCCGACACCTAGAGTGGAGCACCCACGGGGCCACTCGAAGAAGAAGGAACACAAACACTTTTTAATGGAGATCAGCTCTAGCAAAAATGGACGACAATTTACCTAGGTCCCAAAGGATCTTTGCAGCAAAAACAAGCCTGGAATCAAAGAGGAACTTGTTGGTAGAGTTCACTGAACAAAAGCTGGCAGATGATGGGCCCTGCCCTTACAACTGCTACAGTAAAACTAAAAAGGCCGTTTAAGTATAATTAATTAACCTCTCTCTAAAAGGCATGAAGGGTCACCAGCAATCCATCTCAAACTCAGTTTTTTTACATAGGGAGCTGCCTGGTTGTAACCAACAATGGGCCTAGTCCGGCTTCCTTGGATGGTTTCCATTGCAGTAAAAGGTATGGTTTGTACATCAAGACTGTTAACCTTGAGTTAGCAAGGGAAGATCCATTTGATACCCTCCCACCTGGGTTTGACTTCAACTTGCTATCTGTGTCTTAATAGCTTGAAGAATTTATATACTTAGCTGTCCTGATACAGAAACCACACCTACCATTGGAATGAAGACATAGCTGTGCCCATAATCCCACTGACTTTAAGGCAAGCAGGATTTAGCCCACAGTGACCAGTGCATCCACATTTGGGGCCTAAAATTATGGATTTTCACTGCCCTTTTAATTACTAAGCACAGCACGGATGCATGTGCCTGTTTGTAAGCAGAGCCTTAGGCAGAGATTTAAGGACTTCGCTGAACTGGATCTTTAAACAAAAGGCATTTAGCAGAGGTGCTGAGCAACCACAGTTCTCACTCAAGGCAAATAGCCATGAGTTCCACAACTGGATGCTTTTATTCCACAAAAGCAGGGAATGATTGTGCCTTTAGGGAATCAGGAACATGTTGTCACTTCCCTTTTAATAATCACTACTCTCTGTGCAGACACAGTGGCTGGTTTTACAAGAGAAATAAATATAAAATCTGTGTCCATGTAAGTGACAATGGATTTTGGAATATCTGAGGGCAGCATGGAGTCCTTCAGGTCTTTCAGGCCTAAGTATCCACTGAGATTTTGTTGGCTGGTCAGAGTCCAATTTACCAAACTGACGTCTGAATCCCTCCCATTTCCCTCCCTTGACACCTGGTGTTTCTCATTCATGAATGAATCTAAGCAGTTTCTTTTAAAAACTAGCAAGTCTTAATCTACTTGTAAGCATCACTGACATCTAAAAAACTCACATACTTGGATAGTAAACTTTTTTCCCATCAGTCTTGTACACAACCATTGTGATGAATTCTCGATTATGTGCAAAGTCATCCTAAAAAGAGATTATTAAAATGAGTTGAACACAGATCCCAAATTACTACAAATGCACTGTGTAATTCAAATTCACAGTCCATCACTGCTTTTATATTAACAAAGGTGGCTTGATTTGGCATTTATAATTACTGCGGTGCTTATTCCAACTCCCATTCAAGTCAGTAAAAGTTTTCCCAAGGGTTTCACTGGCAGGGGGTTTTAGGCTTGATTAGGGGTGGATTTACTAGTGATGGGAAGCGCCTTCCATAGCTGTAGCACGTCTAGATGATAGCACTAGAGTTTAGTGGAGGATAAATAATTTTACAACATGTTTATTTAAAACACATGAATAAAAACGGTTAGAGCAATTACATACATTTTACCATAATGAACTAACTAACCTCCATGTTTAGGGCAAAACAAGAGTCTTATGACATACATTTATGTATCATGACCTGAATTCCCCACTACCTCTGCGGATGAAAAAGACGTACAATGAAGTTCCCTAGGATCTAGTGATGTGGTGTCCAACATGTTAGCCACTAGCTACATGTGGCTATTTGGCCGGTTGAGTGTGGCTAGTTCGCAATAGCAGTAGCAACTATAGTGGCTACTTCAGAACTTGATGGACACCATGGATCTAGCGAATCAGACAATTTTGTACCCAGATCTGACTACATTTTCAATTGTAATAAATCATGCAGAAAACACAATATTGCATGAGTCAGAAAAAGTACCTTGTCTGTAATATGTCTGCTAAGCAGAACCCAGACAGCAGCTCCACCTTGTGGACATTGTACTTCCAGTTTGTACTGTGGATTATTAGCCAGGCTGTAAGCATCTTTCATTGGGCCTTGTTTTGCATCCCAAGTACTAAAAGAAATAATAATAATAATAATAATAATAATAATAATGATAGGCTAATGAATAAGTTAATTAATATTTCTAAAAATAACGGCAAATCCCCAATTTAAGGAAAACTAAATAATAAAAGCTAAATGATTTCCCACTGAAACTTCTAGCAGCAAATATGACAATGGTTACAAAGCACAGCTGTGTGAGAAACACTATCTCCAAAACTTTCTTTTAGATAGACGAGCTGCAGTACAAACATTGAAGAGGAACAGCACAGGATTTGGCACAATGCATACTAAGACCAGAAGAAAACATTATGAATGCTAAACCCATGATTTAGGACATACCCATGGGGCAATGAGCTATTACCATATATGGCATGAAAGCTGGCATGAGGAAGGAAACCTGTGTTTCTATGATTGTAGGTCTGTTTAAAAGCTATTACAATATGGCTAGATCCAAAATCTAAACACACTGGCCCATCCAATTCTATACACAAGGGGACTTTTTAGTTTTAATTAGCAGATCAACGTTTGGATGAGCAGCAGCTTGAATAATAATTTCAAAGCTTTCACACTACCTCGTGTTGCCTGGAGGTGGCTGCTGGATGTGAAAAAAACAACAGAAGGGGATTAATGCTTTACTAAAAAGCCTATAGCACTATGGGGATGCAGGCTCTTCTCATCTAGAATTAAATTATTCCCCCTTTGCTCAGAAGTGATCCATGGAATGCTACATCAAAAACAAGCAGGTCTCAAGTGTTACCCCTCTCTGATAACAGCTACTATGTGCCACCGGCTTTCCTGACACATGAGGAACAGTCTCCTTCACAGTCTAAGGGCAGCCAGACACTTGGGAACTGGACACAATCCTTTCTCTTACTTCATATACACATTAAAAGAGCCTTGCTGCAGAAGTAGGTCTTCAAGACTGAGTTAACTAGGAATATGGCAAGGGCCTTTGCAGAAGTTGCACCATGCACAGGCAACAAGCAGCATAGGAGAAGGCCTGAAGGGGTTTGTTTGTGTGAAGCTCATACATGGGTAAAAAAGGTGGGAGCACTGGCAAAGTGGAGGCGGCTATTAAGTAAGAGGAGTTCAGAGAAGTACGAAGAGGCAGAGTTACAGCTTTGAAGGGGATGACAAGAAGCCAGAATTTGATGTGAGAGGAAGGGGAGCCAGCAGAGAGATTTAGGAGGGAATATGACTTATGGTCACTATCTCTGCTGAAATGCAGTTAGGACTAAGGTCGTAGGACTCATCCAACTCAAGTTAATACTCAATTTCAGTGTTTTTAAGAGCATACATTCTTAGTTTATCTGGGAGAGACGACATGCATTGCATAGGCAACGCACTAACTTTCCAAGGAGATGGCATAAGTAAAGGTAAATGCCCTATTCTTCAAACACCCTAAGCAAACTATTGATGGAAAGCAAGTCTGAAAGATGTAGGAGACTTCAGCAAGTCCAACCTCCCAGAAGTTACATAACCTCCAAAAAGGAGAGGTAGGACCAAATTCTGTTTTCCACTACCCACTTCACCTTCAGAGAAACTCCACAGAGGTCAGGGCTGCTTGACTGGATTTGTGAGAGTGCAATGAAGAACAGAATCTGCGGAATGGGTTTTAAAGTGGTATGTCAGGCTCTGAACGAAGAAGCTGGTCTCCAGTTAACGGACAGAAATTGGGGACTGACGAGGAGACTGGAGAGAAGGAAAATGCCAGATCAATGCAGAAGTTTTACTCTTCAAATTAATGTTTACTTTAAAAAAATATCAAAGTAGCTGACTAGATTGTAGAGCTTAACACTTCAGTCTTTCCTGTTGGACCAACCTGTGAAAACATGTTGATTCTTTAAAAAGACTTGGGTTCCAGCTCAAATAAATTACATCATAATACTTGCAAAGATCCTCCCAGGCAATCCAGAAAATCCCTACAAAGAAAACATATTTTTTATTGTTTTCCAAACATCTTAGCTCTACACATTTTTCAGGACCACAATGACACAAAAGCACCAAGGTTTGCAATAAAATCCATTCTTGTAAATCTGAATACAAAGATCTGCATTGTTCACTTCCCCCACCTAAGAACAACTCCCCCAATAGGCCTGGGTAGTCAAGAGAGACTAAAGTTGACCTCCAAGGCACCATTTGGTCACTGTCTCTTTTGATCACAGTTAGGCCTTTGCTTTTTCTTCAGCAGAAAGAAAAGCTTGCTCGTCACTTAAGAATGCAAAAGCTGTAGTCTTTGAGCCTTTCTTTGAGTGGCAAATGTTAGCCACTCCTGTGCAGCCCCCTACTCTCCCAGGATTCTGAAAAATTAGACACAACTGATACACGATTAATAGACACCTCCGGTTTAGGCAATTTAGCTTACTGGTTTCTACCTATTTAGCTGAAGATCCAAAAGAGAGAAGACATCACTTGTTTAGCAGTTAGTTCTTAATCTGAAAGGAAAGTACACCTAGCATTGTTTGAGATCTTTCCTTGGCATCCCACTTAACATCCATTTAGGTGTGCTCTAGCACACTAATTTGTTTTAACATTACAATATTCACCTGCTCACCCAATTGCAACCAGAGCCAACACTACCACAACATTCTGAAATCATGTTCCTTGAACTCCCCATATGCTCCTAGTACTGTAACAAGCTGTTGATACAGATGAATTTCAGACTTACAGTACAAAGAATATCCAGAGTCATGGCAACTGTACATTTTGACAGCCATAGTCAGATCAAAATCCAATCATAAGTAACATCCTTATAAATGTACTTCAGAGCCAAGGGATTTAAATCCACGTACTGTCAAATGATGCATTAATAAAAGAATAACCTGCTATCCTCTCTGAAGATTATAAAGCCAGTGTCAGGATGGAATTACTTTTGCTAAACAATGTTTTTCCACCTAGCTATTTCACCATATTCCTCAACATGCAATCTCAGTGCCTATGTCCATTTTTCTGTAAAAATAAGACACCAGACCAGAAAAGGGTTAATTACAATGGGGAAGACAAGCAACTCAGCTATTAGCGTATAGAAAAAATAACTACATGTATGGAAGTAGCTATTGTAACATTTGGGAACTGGCTGATCTGGTGGCATTTTGTCCTGTCACATGGGAAGTCCATGTTGATTTCCTTGATGCAGTGCACTAGTTCTTCCTGGGGAAAGAAAGGGCAACAAGACAGTACCTGGTATTGCTCAAGAAACTTCTCTGCATAATTATGTAGTAGTCCTGTTGGGCTCAAAGAAATCTCTCAGCCACTTAGGTTATGTCTACACAGCAGGACTAAGGTTGAATTAAGATATGCGACTTCAGCTACATCAATTGCGTAGCTTAAGCCGAAATAGCTTAACTCGATTTTTGGCATTGTCTACACAGGAGGAAGTCTGAGAAAGAGCACTCTTCCTTTGACTTCCCTTACTCCTCGTGAAGTGAGCATTACCAAGAGTCAGAGTAAGAAGTCCTCCAGCTTAACATTATTTCGAAATAAAGGCTTGTAGTGTAGATGCGCACTATGTTATTTCAGAATAATGTTGCTGTGTAGACAAACCCGTATAGTCATCCAATCAACAAGTGCATCAACAACTAAAGACTTGTGTACACTGAAGTGTAGCACATGGAGAAAATCTTGAGATCTCAATTACAGATATAAAGGATCTCTTGGGTGAAAGAAAAAACATTGCCTATATGAAGTGTGTGGACATGTATTTCTGAATGCTAGGAAAATAGCTAATGAAGGTCAGAAGAGTCCATTCACATATTAATAAATGGTATTATGAAGTTTCTCAATGTGTTATGTTGTATTAAGGATGGCCAAAAACCACATGAGAATAAAAAAGGAAAACAGAAGCTATTATTAAGAAATATCCTTTTAAATTAAAAAAGACAGCAAATGATCCAGTCTACTTGAAATCTAGTCAATTTTGAAACATGAGTTTAAAGTAAGAGGTACTTCTTCCCTAACTTTGAAAGGCAACAAAAATGGCACTTATTTACTTTCTGCTTTTCCCCAGTTGCTGTGTGAAAACAAAAATAAGGAAACTGAAACAGACCACTCTCAGACACCTGCTCACAATTACTTAAACTGAACGTTTAGGAAAAAAGATCTCATCAGTGAAAGCGTCATTAGATGCTACGGTCACAAAAATAAAAAAGGTCAAACAGAGGCGTGTGGTTTTTTTAAACAATACTTGGCAGCATTATTTTAATTCATTTTACCATTGTCTATTTTTTGAGCTGTTCGGGGATCAAAGTTTAAGTATTTTTGTAGTTCTGGGGTCCAATTTTTCACATCATTTTCACTGTATCTTCCTTTCCAACGTAAATGACTCCAAGGATTTTTCAATTGGAGGAATCGAAGCCCCTAGGGAAGCAGTAAATAAAAAAATTATCTGGTTTCTCTTGTCAAGATAAATCTATTCTTAATCTTATCTAATAGGTGCACAAAGTAAACACTTAAGGCTTTTTGTTTTACTGGATACCTTGTGTTCTCTAATATCCAAAACAGCATATGCATGGGTTGGAACTAAACCCCGTTTTTCTCCCTCCTCCTCAGACATCACTCCAGTTGCCGTTGTGATAAGGACATCACCTTTGTGAAATCTGGGTGGGTGAGGGGAAGAAGAGGAATTAAGGCAGTTTAGTTTAGGTTATTAGCACATATAAAATGACCAGTGTTTTCTCATTACAGTTACTGAACACTGAACTCTTCTTCCAAGTTGCTATTGGGTCATAAGTGCATGTTAATCTTTTCTGAAGGATACAAATTATTCATAAAAATTCAATAAAAGAAAGTAATTGTTATTAGGGATGTAAAATTTTGATTAATTGGCTAATCAAAGAGTTTATCAACTATTTGCACCAACTGCATCAAGGCGCCTCCTCCACTTCAAAGGTGGAGGTGCTGCGAGGAGCACAGGGCCAGTGGGGGACTCAACCAGTGCTTCAAAGCAACAGTGCTGCACGGAGCCTAGCGTCAGGCTCCACATGACATTTCAAAGCGACAGCACCACATGGAGCCCAGGGTCAGTGCAGCTGACCCTGGGCTGCACGTGGCGTTTCCCAGTGGTCTTTCCCCAGGCGCCACACAGCGCTGATGCTTTGAAGCCCCCCTTCCTCTTCCCCCCCTCCTTGCTGCCTCTTTCTGATAGAGGAAACATGGGGGGCGGGGGAAGAGGGCAAAGCAACTACACAACTAGTCCTTCACATTCCTAATTGTTATTTATCAATATTTAAGATGAGACTCTAATAGGAAAATTACTGGCATCATGAAAACAACATGGTAGATTCAATTTTACTCTGATATCACTTTTTATAGATGCTCAGCAAAATAAATCTTCTACCCACCAGAATGAGTAGCCTCAAAGGATCAATCACTATGTACAAACAAATTCATAAGTCTCTGCATTTATGATCTTGGGGGCAAATGTTCTAAGAACCAGAGGGTGAAAAGCACACGCTTTCATATTTTCACACCAGTCTATGCACAAAAATGCTTGTTTAGTATCAGGGAAGGTCTGTAGTGTCTGAAAATTTAGCCCCCATGCCTAAATACAGAGAAACTGATCAGAAGAGTGACTGTCAATCTACTGGAAGGTCACAAATCTACTGAAGAACATGTGAGATCTTTCATCAGGTACATGTTTGCTTGTTTTAATGTTTTGGCCAAGCGGATATCCCATTCTATCACCTTGGTGCTCTGCCTTCCTTGTCAATGAGAAGAAAGTGGTTGGCTAAATAAGACTTTTATTAATATGGGGATGGAAATAAGACTACCACCTGTAGCTGAAAAAACCTGTGCTCCATGCTGCATCATTGGAAAAATCTAAATCTAGTCTGTGGGAGGCCACTAACTTCTACTCCCCTTTTCTCCAGAGGTGCCTTCCACTGTCTCCCCATACTGCAGTGAATAGGGAAGAGGAACTACTATTTAGATTTTTAAATTGGAGTTCTACTGGAAATGGGAATTCAGTTTTCCACCTATTAACAGAGCTCCCATGTTTCTCCATTAGCCTGTTGACAAAGTCATTCCTTTGTTCCTCCAGTGGATTTCCTAGGATGGGGCAGAGAGGGGCTATGAATGATCATATGTACTTGGACCACATCCTTGCCTTGAGATGTAGTGACAAAGACCTATCACATGCTATATCTATCTCTTTAGTATAATTAAGGCATCTATTTCACTGACAGTTTCTTCTGTCACTAGGAAAAGGAAGAACAAGTTTTTACCTCTGATAGAGCATTCGGAAAGAACTATCTTTGTTGAAAGACTGATTGTCTGAGTGCATAGCAATCCTTTCAGGTATCCAGCCAGTCAATGCATGGAGGTCAATGTTCTGAAATGCAAGCATATTTGGTCATAAAAGACACATTAAGCTATCTCTCATTTGCGTGTATTGTACACAGAGCTATTCTGCACCAGTCCAGAACATATGAGCGCTACTGTTCATTAGACAAGGCTCTACCTGGGCATAAGAAAATGGTTCTTTCACACAAGTGGCTTAATAATCCAGTCTTGTGTACTGGTGTCTGTTTAAAGTACAGTTATTAGTGTTCTAGATTAGGTTGCAAATCTCCAGCACTCTCAAGAATGAGGTCCCAAAAGGAGCCTCACAAATCCTGCTACAAACTGCACTGTCAATAATTTGTTTTTAATCTAGCTTGTCTGCAAGATACAACTAGCTTTACATGGTGAAAAGGCCTGCATAATAAAAACTACTTTAATTTCACTAGCTCTGTTGCACGTTCAAGCACAGTATGAGGCTTCACTCCCCGAAAGATACTTCAACAAAATGATCTTTTTTTCTATTCCCTCTCCCAGATAAGCAGGGCTATGACAGCTCAAAGAAATGCTTCCCAACATGTCTAAGGCCATTACTGACAGATAGACCTTGGACAACAGTGCAGGCACTTGGAAATTCTTCTTTGATCATGCAAAGGAGGAAAGATAGGTACGTCTACACAGCAGCGTTATTTCAGATTAACATAGGGAATGTCTACATAACAAGACATTATTTTGAAATAACGTCGAGCTGGAGGACTTCTTACTCCGACTCCGGTAGCCCTCACTTTACGAGGAGTAAGGGAAGCTGGAGGAAGAGTGTTCTTCCTTAGACGTTCTGCTGCGTAGACAGTGCCAAAAGCTGAATTAAGTTATTTTGAGTTCAGCTACGCAATCAACGTAGCTGAAGTTGCATAGCTTAATTTGAGTTTTGCCCTGATATGTAGATATGCCCGTACTGTCAAGAGCTGTAGTTTCTATGTTTTATTAAAACCAAAGCTAGAAGTCAAATTGTTCTTCCAACTCACAGAATTTGATCCAGGAAAATCATATCCACCCATGACCTTCATGTAAGCTTTTTCTATCAAAGACACCCACAATTCACTTTTATTGTTGGAATAAGAGCAGAGGAGCTCTCCTTTGTGATCTACAGGTAACTGGTCGTCTATTATCACCTGAGCAAAATAAGCAAACAGAAATCATCATAAAGGTGATAATCCAAACATTTTACACTTTTCTTTAAAGGAAAAACACTCTTAGAAACTCATTCTATTTCATAGAGCTCTGTCAGACTGTGAGGAAACGGAACACTGTTTCCCGACAAACACAGCAATTCCTAACAGCAGTCTACCCTAGGAGATAAAGCACTGAACTGGGATTAGGAGAGCTGGATTCTATTTCAAGCTCTGCCACTGGTAGGCTCAGTGACTGTGGACAAGTCACATCACTCTGTGCCTCACTTTCTCCATCTGCAACGTGGGGATAACACTGAGCAACTTTGTAAAGCCATTTCAGAGCTACTCATGAAAAGGCCTATACAGGCAGTCCCCGAGTTACGCGGATCCGACTTATGTCGGATCCGCAGTTACAAACGGGGCTTTTCTTGCCCCAGAGGACGCGAGTGGCGGGACGCCCAGATGAGCCGCGGTCCCGCCGCCCGCGTCCTCCAGGGCGAGAAAAGCTGCTCCGCATCTCCCTGGTCTGCTGGGGGGAGGGGGAGAACCCCCCCCAGCAGACCAGGGAGACGCGGAGCAAAGCCGTGGAGGACTCAGGCGGCGGGACC